CATGGCTTGCCGATGTCACTTCCTGTGTCATCTGACTTAGGCTGCTTATCAGGTCGACTATTTTCATTTCCTCGCTCCTCGGTCCTCGGTCTCACCGGAAGTTGATTTGCCTGCGCCATCTTGAGTACCGTCCCATGGCTCTTATTTCTGCCGGAGGACCTAGGACTGAGGACCGAGGATCGAGGAGCGATAATGGAGGAGCGATAACCGAGGAACCACCAGACCATCCTCCGGTGAGATCTTACTGTGTATCGCTCACTGATTGGACGAGGCAGCGCATGCACTGATCTGATGCTTCTTGACTTGAGAGCAGTTTCCCAGCAGAGTGAAGAAAACACATGAACCTCACGGGACTCACTCCTCAGTTTATACCGTGTTTTGTTTCAATTCATGTTTCATTTAGTTACAAATATGTGAAATATCTGAACAACAAAGTGGTCACAAATCATTTTATTCATTTGTTGGAAACATTTTCATAATCGCTTTTTTCGTTTTACATTTTCATTTATTGTCATTTCCATTCAGTCATTAAGTGATATTAAAATGTTAATTTACTACATATCCACACAAACAAACAAACAAAGTGTGCAATGAATGTTAATCTAACTGGGTTTTGATATATAACATATCTCTCTTTCTTCTCTCCATTATTTTATTTCTATTGTGCACTCTAATCAATATTAATCTAACTATTGTTCGTTTATACATTTTAAGAATGGCGTTTATCTTTTTTGAGAATTAGATCTTATTTTATTTCATGTATTTGGGACAGACAGATGATATAAATGTGTGTGTCAGTACATGTGTGCTAACAGAGGCGGGTGTGTGTGGAAACAACGGGGCCAGAGCTGCTGTCAGACGATCAGCTGTGCAGCGTCATCACAAACGGACGTCGCTTCACGTGACGCTCAGGAGGAAAGGACGTCCCATTGCTCTTAGAACTCATTTCCCTGCTTCTCGTGGTTTCCTTGCGTCCCTCCATGCTTCCCTGGTGGGAGGGACTAAACGCAGGGAAACGACGCAAGTGAGGGAAGCAAGGATTTCATTTAATCGACCTGAGAAGCAGCCTTACAGTTTGTTCACTTCCTGTGTGTCATCTGACTTACAGTTTGTTCACTTCCTGTGCCAATCTAAAAAGGTTTGGGTAACAGGGTTGAACGCATGTTGAGGGACACACCTTCTGTGCAACATTACTGTTATCTAAAATATGTTTATGATTTAACAAATTGATTGTACCATTACAAGAGACATTTATCAATAGAATAATACCAACAAAAGTAAATAAAATCCCTTTTTAAATGTTATATTTGACGCAAGTTGGTCACCAAGAAGCGGGGACAAGAGAACAATGCAATTTTAGGGGATGTTCGAGAGCTATTTGATCATTTAAATAATATTTTGAAACCACTTTTTTTACAACTTTATATACATTTTGTCTCAAGACAAGTATGTTTAACACAACAAGTGCATGTTTTAGCTTTTTGGGCATGGATTATTATATTGTTTATATGGGGGACATAAAATGTCCTCCAATTCTGGAATGACCCTTTTAGGGTTAGTTACTCCCCGCTTTGTCACACACACACACACACACACACACACACACACACACACACACACACACACACACACACACACACACACACACACACACACACACACACACACACACACACACACACACACACACACACACACACACACACACACACACACACACACACACACACACACACACACACACACACACACACACACACACACACACACACACACACACACACACACAGAAAGCCAGAAGGAAACATGTGACTGAAGCTACAGCTCCCTGCAGCAGTAGCAACGAGTGGGCAGGGGCGGATCTACGAGGGGGCATTGCTTTAAAATACATTTAGTAGTTTCCTTTCATTTAAAATGGTTGAGGTACAGTAAGCTTGGGGGACTCAAAGGGCACCCGATTGTTTGTCTGAACACCTTGTTTCTCTTGTGCATTAAGAACACTTGTGTTAGGGCATGAATTAACAATAAATAGGTTATATACAGTATAACATAACACGTACTGCCCGCCATCCCATGCCACCCTGGCATGACCTCTTGCCCCCCTCTTGCCCCCTTCTTGCCCCCCCATGTAAAATGTTCTAGAACCGCCACTGCGAGTGGGTTATATGCAGCATCTCCATATAGCGAAGTTAAATCAATTTGAGATCACGATCTGTCCAGAGTGTAACCCTAACTCGAGCCAAATGAAAAGCCTCTCTTGTGTGAGGATGGACTCAGAAACCAGTGAATGTTTGTTGTGATGTTATATGATATGGCGCCACCTGGTGGCGAACAGGTGAAACGGCATGGTTTCTATTTACACCCAGAACAACATATTGAGATGTTTATTATACCCTTTTAAAGGAGAACATGTTAATATTTGTCACGCATCTATTTGACCTATTCATGAATTTAATAAACGTGTGAAAGAATAATATAATCTAACAAGATGTGGCTCTCTTGATGAATGCAGTGGAAGTCGATGTGAACCTGGGTGGTTTCTTTCTGTACTGTGAGCTTTTTTAGGGTTTAAGTACATTTATTCAAGTACTGTACTTAATACACTTTAGAGGTACTTGTACTTGAGTATTTCCATGTTATGCTACTTTGTACTTCTACTCCACTACAGTTCAGAGGTGAGTGGTGTACTTTTACTCAAGTACAATATTTGAGTACTTCTACTTTTACTCAAGTACAAGACCTGAGTACTTCTACTTTGACTCAAGAACAAGATCTGAGTACTTCTACTTTTACTCAAGTACAAGATCTGAGTACTTCTACTTTTACTCAAGAACAAGATCTGAGTACTTCTACTTTTACTCAAGTACAAGAACAAGATCTGAGTACTTCTACTTTTACTCAAGAACAAGATCTGAGTACTTCTACTTTTACTCAAGAACAAGATCTGAGTACTTCTACTTTTACTCAAGTACAAGATCTGAGTACTTCTACTTTTACTCAAGAACAAGATCTGAGTACTTCTACTTTTACTCAAGAACAAGATCTGAGTACATCTACTTTTACTCAAGAACAAGATCTGAGTACTTCTACTTTTACTCAAGAACAAGAACAAGATCTGAGTACTTCTACTTTTACTCAAGTACAAGAACATGATCTGAGTACTTCTACTTTTACTCAAGAACAAGATCTGAGTACTTCTACTTTTACTCAAGAACAAGATCTGAGTACTTCTACTTTTACTCAAGTACAAGATCTGAGTACTTCTACTTTTACTCAAGAACAAGATCTGAGTACTTCTACTTTTACTCAAGTACAAGAACAAGATCTGAGTACTTCTACTTTTACTCAAGAACAAGATCTGAGTACTTCTACTTTTACTCAAGTACAAGAACAAGATCTGAGTACTTCTACTTTTACTCAAGAACAAGAACAAGATCTGAGTACTTCTACTTTTACTCAAGAACAAGAACAAGATCTGAGTACTTCTACTTTTACTCAAGAACAAGAACAAGATCTGAGTACTTCTACTTTTACTCAAGAACAAGAACAAGATCTGAGTACTTCTCCCACCAGCAAGTATTATTGTTCACAAAGTGGGTCCCTATATGCTCACGGCTGCATTTCCCCCTTTAGATATACCATCTCAGGACCGGGGTCTAATCTCCAGAGACTTAACATTTATCATATGACATGTTAATAAATGTTCTTTAAACAAATGAAGTCTCTCCTGATTGAACTCTTGTGATCAAACTATATTTTAGAATATAAATGATTAATTATTATCAAATTTAACGACAACCAGAATGGTAAATGGTAAATGGACTGTACTTATATAGCGCTTTATCCAGTCTTTACAACCCCTCAAAGCGCTTTACATACTACATGTCATTCAGCCATTCACACAGAGCAGTACCACTTGCTCTAGGACCTAACATTCACACAGAGCAGTACCACTTGCTCTAGGACCTAACATTCACACAGAGCAGTACCACTTGCTCTAGGACCTAACATTCACACACATTCACACAGAGCAGTACCACTTGCTCTAGGACCTAACATTCACACAGAGCAGTACCACTTGCTCTAGGACCTAACATTCACACAGAGCAGTACCACTTGCTCTAGGACCTAACATTCACACAGAGCAGTACCACTTGCTCTAGGACCTAACATTCACACAGAGCAGTACCACTTGCTCTAGGACCTAACATTCACACAGAGGAGTACCACTTGCTCTAGGACCTAACATTCACACAGAGCAGTACCACTTGCTCTAGGACCTAACATTCACACAGAGCAGTACCACTTGCTCTAGGACCTAACATTCACACACATTCACACAGAGCAGTACCACTTGCTCTAGGACCTAACATTCACACAGAGCAGTACCACTTGCTCTAGGACCTAACATTCACACACATTCACACAGAGCAGTACCACTTGCTCTAGGACCTAACATTCACACAGAGCAGTACCACTTGCTCTAGGACCTAACATTCACACAGAGCAGTACCACTTGCTCTAGGACCTAACATTCACACAGAGCAGTACCACTTGCTCTAGGACCTAACATTCACACAGAGCAGTACCACTTGCTCTAGGACCTAACATTCACACAGAGCAGTACCACTTGCTCTAGGACCTAACATTCACACACATTCACACAGAGCAGTACCACTTGCTCTAGGACCTAACATTCACACAGAGCAGTACCACTTGCTCTAGGACCTAACATTCACACACCGTTGGCCATCGGGAGCAACTCAGGGTTAAGTATCTCGCCCAAGGATACATCGACATGTTGGCTGCACGGGCTGGGATCGAACCCACAACCTTCTGGTTGAAAGACGACCGCACTCCCTCGCAGCCACAGAATCTCCATCAGTCAGTAAAATAACAATCCTTGTTACTTAAAATAATAATTTATAAATACGTAACGTTCAGGACTTTAAGGCACTTTGTTGAGAAACTCCTGAAATAAGAAGGAACAACAAAATCAATCAAGGTTTAAAAACTGAGTCTTTATTAAATTACAAATATCTGCTTCACACAAAGTCTGCATTATTAAAAAACCAGAGGTGCTGCTGGTCCTCTGCTGGTCCTCTGAGGATCCAACAGGGCTCCAGAGGTGCTGCTGGTCCTCTGCTGGTCCTCTGAGGATCCAACAGGGCTCCAGAGGTGCTGCTGGTCCTCAGAGGATCCAACAGGGCTCCAGAGGAAAACGTGATTTAAAAAATATTTAGAGTTAATATGAAAATGTGCTTCACGGTGCCTGAGAGAGAGAGAGAGAGAGAGCGAGAGAGAGAGAGAGAGAGAGAGAGAGAGCGAGAGAGAGAGAGAGAGCGAGAGCGAGAGAGAGCGAGTCTGGAGGTGATACAGGTTACGAGAGAGAGAGAGAGAGAAAGAAAACGTGTAAACTGAAACCAAACACATGCAGAAACTGGAGGGACAGAAACGTCCTGCTACGTCACAAATATAAAGTCTTACGGTCCACGCCTTCATGTGCAAACACGTCATTCAGATCCAAAACACACACACAGAAAGTACCGGTACAAAACAAACAAAACGTCAAACTTAAAAAAAATATAAAAACAAAAATCACACTTTTTTTTTCTTTACAGTCAGTTTCTGTAAAACATTAGATTTTCTCACGTTCAGGTGTTTCATGATATCTATATTATATATTTAACATATCACCCCCTGCTCTAATACTGCTCTCACACCTGTCTCTAAGATAAGATGGACTTCTATTAACCCCTCGTGGGGAAACGGTTTCTCTGCATTCGACCCATCCTGTGTTCGGAGCAGTGTGGGGAACGGTGCCTTGCTCAGGGACACCTCGGTAGCACTTGAACTGGTGACTTTCCAGTTGCCAAGCCAAGTCCCTATCGACTTCGCCACCGCCGCCCCCACACCTGTATCTGCTGCGACCCTGAGACAGCAGCAGCAACAAGCTAAATACAGAGTGTGTGAACTACTGTGTGTGTGTGTGTGTCCCTGTCCTGCAGGGTTAATGAGGTCCGGCACTCACTGACATTCATGGCTGTAGAGAACGACCCAAGGCTAGTGTTAGCTTAGCATGATCACAGAGTTTAGGGAACATTATTTAAAAAAAATGCTGCTTTAATTATTAATTTTATTCCAGGTGTTGGCGAGTATGAGAAGACCCAGAATAATCACTGAAAGCAGACGTTTGAATTATTATCATTATTTTAGATTTGCGGTTGATAAGGAAGAGGATTAGAGCCACACAAATAATCTGATCAAAAGTGTGAATTCTGAGCAAAAAAGTATTCCGACTTTTTTTCTGAAAACGTAAAATAAAATCACTTTTGGTCAGATTTGTATAATTGTTTTTACACGTGGCCCAAATCCTCTTCTGGAGGACAGCCAACAGTCAAGAGGCCTTTATTTTAAGCTTGATGCGGACTGTTGAGATGTTCATAGTTTTGTGTACAAATTGTCAGAACATATTTAAAATGTGCATCCCAGAGTCTCAGAGTCCGAGGGGAAGTCAGATCTCCAGATTAGGGATCAGTATAATTATTCTAACTTGTAGAAATGTGACTGACAGGAGATCAGGAGGCGGTTCCTCTGAGAGCTCGCTGACTCTTTGATATAAAAATAAAAAAGGTTGTTACTAACACAACGTCTTCAGTCGCCCCCTCAGAAAGGAGGCGGTGAATCTGAGAGTCTGTAGTCACTGGAGGAAACAACGTCTTCAGTGAATGTGCGTCACAGAGTCTGTAAACAAGGGAGAAACGTCGTGGTCTTCACGCCACAGGTTTGAGGACGGATCTGAGGCACCGGCCCTCCTTGGTGAGCTCTCTGGTGAAGCACATGCAGGGCAGCGGCACGGCCTCTTCTCGTCTGGTGATCTGGTTGAACTTGCACTTCTTCAGGTGGTCGGCCATGCTGGCGATGTTGGCGAACTTCCACTCGTTCACCGTGCCGAACGCCGTGCTGAAGCGCCACACCTGGACACCAACGAAGAAGAGAGGGGGTTAATATCAGGGCGGGGGTTACTCAAAGAAAAAACAGTAAAAAAAAAATGTGTGTTTTTAAAAAGGAAAGTTAGATCCAAAACGTATTTCATAAACGACTTTGCAAAACCAGAGATTTAGGGGAAAATTCTTTTTAGAAATGTACGATTAGGGGTTAGAGACCATTTTGCCTCAATTTGGTCAAATTTCTCGCTGTGTTTTTTCTAAAATTGACTTCAACATTAGCCGCTTTCACACCAAATACTTTGCCGTACTTAGTACCCCGGCACTAAGTACCCCAGGGCAGCGTTTCCGGCAGGGGGGCGTCTTGCCGTCATTAGACGCCTTTATTCAGCTCAGGACGCCCTGAACTCGAGCCGAGGGCGTCCAAAAATATTAATAATTCGAGAGAAGATCGAGAGTTTTGAAATGAGGAGAAGGAAAAAGGAAAAGGACATCCCTCTGTTGGAGGGGCAAAGGAGTCTGGTGGGATTCTTTTCGGAGTATTGAGGATCGTTTCCCCGACATCGAAGGTGCCTGCTACAGGACAACACGGAACGTGCACGATTTGGACGCGATGAGCGGTGCTAGTGGAGCATGCGCATGAGCTGCGAGCACCAGAGCCTCGCAGCGGCGAAACTGAGGCTCCGTGGTAAACTGTGGATGAAGAGCTGTTTGGGAGCCGAAACAGCCGGCGCTTTAAGAGAGCCGAGCCAAATGATCCGGCTCACTAACGTAAAAAGACTGTTGCCTCATCCCAATACCCCTCCTCCTTTCCCTCACTCGCCTCCCTTCCTTGCATCTTAGCTCCGCCTCCGTAAGATGCGAGCGAGAGACACGAGGAGGTGACGCGAGGACAGAGGAGTCCTCAGGTATTAATTGGGATGTCCTCGTTCACAGACGTCACTTTTAAACGACGTCTGTTAATGATGCCATGTGCACAGCTGCACCCCCTCTCATCGGGCTGAACTGAAGAACCCTTAGAACCGGCCCATTGGTTGTTAAACATTTATTTAAATGAATCTTTCTCTTGTTAGTCAAGGAATTCAATGTGTGATGGTTGGTCCTGCTTTTGTGTTCCGTGTTGGTGTAACATGTAGCCTACATTTAAATAAAAATATAATGATAATGTGAAAGCCTTTTAGAAATGAATTGCACATAATCATTCCCACGGAGCTGTGAGCACTGAGACATTTATGTGACGCTTTTCCACTCATCTTCCAGTTGTGGGTTTTCCTCTGTTGAAATGGACCAGCTGTGAAGGAGGGGGCGGGGCTTTTATACACGAGTAGTGAAAACACTTCTGCGTAGTCTGCTCTCGTGTATCCTCCCGCACCCCTCCTCCCGCACCCCTCCTCGACTCCTCCGTGTGCATTTCAGCTATTGGGACGTCCTTCAAAATGGCGTGTCTTGATCGATTTCCGGGTCAAGTCCCGGAGGAGGGGAAGAGAGGAGTCGAGGAGGGGTATTGGGATGAGGCTAGTATCTATAAGGGACGGCTCAAGTCAAAACAACCCCTCCCCGCTCTCGGGGTGGACGCCCTCTCAGCCCTGGTCTGGCGGAAACACTGCCCCAGGGCACTAAGTAGTCACAAGACATGCTAAACTGGTGTTTTTCCACCAAATAAATGTTTAAAAAAATCCCATTTGATCGATTTATAGTTGGCAGCTTAAATATTTTCAAAATTGCAAATTCAGAAACGGATGATTTTATAATTTCCTAATCCAACAAATTATCATTTTGATTCGGGAGTAAAATGCAGATTCTTTCCAGGATTAGTTGTGTTTTTTTAAAGTGTTTTAAAATAGTACAAAAAAATGTTAACCTGTTCAGCCCCGAGCCTGTTTTTCAGGCATCAGGCTCGAAAATGACATTCCCAGAACAAATGACCATATCTTCTAAAAAGGTTAAATTAATACTCTTTGTTCTCAAAGCAATGAGAAACCTGTGAGTTGGATGTAGAAAAGTCAGAATCAATATAGAATTTTTGTATTTTAAAGTAAATTCAGATTGAACATAGTGAAAAAATGTAAATGATAGTGTCCGTCCAAAATAAAAACATTACTTATAGTGACAACCATTGAATCTGGAATCTCAGCTTTTTGCGGATCCGATGAAGTATAAAAGATCGCTACCGTGAGTTATGTGCCAAGTGCGTTAGCACTCTTTCTCTTAATGCTAATTCAGACGCTCGGCGTTAGAGTTGTGTTTTGTTTCGCTAAAAATGGTTCATATCGTCAGTGAGCTGAGTTTTGGCGCTTTTCCACTGCAGGGCCTCGCAGGGCTTCGTACGGTTTGGTTAGGCCTTGGTAGGCCAGGCTCTCTTTATGCTGCGTTTCCATTACAGTTTAGTAGCTGGGGCAGTAACTGTAGCTGGGGCAGTAACTATAGTAACGCAGTAGGGATGTAACGATATATCGAATATCGCGATAAACGTCTCAATACCGTCGTGAGACTGACAAAATCTACCGCGATCTTTTAATGTAAAAAAAAAAAATTAAATACATTTTTTTTTTAAACCTTAATTCAACCAGATGGTCCCATTGAGATCATCGATCACAGTTTGACCCACTGCTGTCACCCATGGTCAAAGCATATCTCTCTGTCCCAGCAACATCAGTACCAAGCGAGAGAGTTGTTTCCACAGCAGGGGATTTTGCAAACGCCCAAACATCCCAGCTTCTACCTGGAAATGTGGACATGCTCATATTCCTGAAAGATAACCTTGATGCCGCTGAGAGAGAGAGTTAGAGATGAGTTACTTGAACAACTAAAGTGACACTTGATTTATTCTATTGCAGGGTCTGATTATTATATTGTTGACACTTTAAAATATTACTATCTACTAAAATGCTGTACAAATCAGATTTATTATTTAATAAAGAAAAAAAATTCAAGTGAAATAACGTACAAAAAAACACTTTTTTTCTCTTTATTTTTCAATATCGCGATAAATATCGTACCGTGGACTTTTTAAATCGCGATATTATCGTATCGTGAGTTGTTGGTATCGTTACATCCCTAGTAAGCAGTAACTATAGTGACGCTGCGTAAGACTGCTGTGACGTCATCTTCAATGAGAACCACAAAAACAACACAGCCGTTAGCTGTTAGCCCTCAGAGCTCACAGCTCCTCATATCTGTTCAGAAACTAGACAGAAGTTAAACAATTACAAACCACAGACTGTCTGTGTCATGGAGAATACAGTCACTGGTTTATTTATGTCTGTAGGCCGTTGTTGTGAGTGTGGACGGTCGGAGCATATACTGCGTTAGCTTAGCCGATCTCCATTCACAAAACACGCATCTTAAAAGGTGTTTCTCTGCCGTCTGTCTGCAGACTTGTCAAAGCATTAATTCATGGTTTTTACTAACCGGTATCAGTATGTTGTTACTTCGGCATCATTTAGAAACGTGTATTACAATTAAATCACGGTCAAATATGTTCATCTTGTTGTAGTTGTAGCCCCCTTGCCAGAGATTCTCTCTGACCAATCAGCAGTCGAGAGTGTTTACGTCACTAGTTTAGCATATTCAGCCCGGTTGTTGGCCCGCTAAGAACCTCGATTTGCCCTGAGACGAAACTACCTCTAGTGGAACATTAAAAAAAAAGCGGGCCGGGTTTGGCACGGCACGCTTAAACCGTGCGGCAGTGGAAAAGCGCCATTTCTTCCCGACGAGTGGGTATGACACATTAATAGGTTGTTAAATGTTAAGAGGCCCTGAGACACAGTTTCGTGAATATTGATGTGTTTTGCCCCCGGGGCGGGAGCATGGGGTTCAACAGGTTAACAGGCGTGTATTTGAGTAACTGGGAACAGAATTGACCCTTTGAGTTGCAGCTCTATAAAGATTGCAAAGCCTTTAAAGATGTTTGAGGAGATATAGGAACCCTGGGAAGTCTTTTTTTAGAGAAATACAATCTTCCTGACCTTGTCTGTGATCTGCCACGATGAGGACCCGTCCGCTCTCCTGATCTTGTTCCACAGCAGCACACCACCATGCCTCTCATCTGCAGCAGACTGCCACACACCTCCCTCATGGTGCGGGACACCCTGGACAGCTGGCACAGACTGAAGGAGTCCAGGAAGGAGGCCACGTGTTGCAGCACCTCGAAGGGAAGGCCGCTCAGCTGATCCCCGTCACACCCTACCCTCCTGCGACACCTCGGGGGGCCTGGTTTCACCCCGAAGGACCCAAGGTGCCGGTCGTGGATGATCCGGAAACCTTGCACCGAGGGGCAGAAGCGACGTTGACTGAACGTGCATCCGTAATACGCCAGAGGACAACGCTGCTCCATCCATCCGTTCAAACCCGCGTGGATATCCCCGTGCACGTTCTTGAAGTGCGAGGAGAATTCGTCCCGTCGAAACAGCTGCCCGCAGACAAAGGTAAACATAGAACGCTGTTTTGTCTGGTATCGAGCCACGCACTCCAGAACCAGGTCCAGACGCAGCGTGTGGAACGGGCTCGGGTTGGAGAGTTGGGGGTTGGCGTGATCACAAGCGGACGCCGAAGACACGTCTCCAACCATTGTGTTGGTGGCGAGGATAGCGGAGGGGAAGGAGAACGTCTGGGTGCCGAAATCAATGTGATATCCGTCCACGAAGCGGCTGTCGGAGATTCCACGACCCCCCGGGGAGTCGCCGAGGCAGAAAAGAAGCGCAGCGGTGATTAAGTCGATGCCGTGAAGCCCCATCGGGTCGTCCGCCACCTCCAAATCCGACGTGTCCACAGACTTGTCCTCCATTTTGGCTCGGAACAAGTAGGGGTCGGATAGAAGTGCCCGGCGGCCGTTAAAAGTGAACATGCTGATCCCCCGGAGAACCTCCACGCTCTGAAGCTTCCTCTCCAGGCAGCGGAACCGTAACTCTGAGGGGAGGTGCTGCAGGAAGCCGTTACGCATCACGTGGTCTGACAGACGGAAGGGCACCGGGGTCGCTGGAGGAGGTCGCTGAACCACGGGAAGAAGGCCTGGAGGTCGTTGAACCACGGGAAGAAGGCCTGGAGGTCGTTGAACCACGGGAAGAAGGCCTGGAGGTCGTTGAACCACGGGAAGAAGGCCTGGAGGTCGTTGAACCACGGGAAGGAAGCCTGGAGGTCGTTGAACCACGGGAAGGAAGCCTGGAGGTCGTTGAACCACGGGAAGGAAGTCTGGACGAAGCACTGGAGCTTGAAGGAAGTTTGGAGGAAGTAAAGGAGCTTGAAGGAAGTCCTGAGAAAGCAGCGCCATGGGAAGAGAGTTCGGAGGAAGTACCGGATACACCAACTGGGAATCCTCGATGGTTTCTTCATCGATGCTCTCCACCTCTTTCTCCTCGTAGAAAAGCTCCACAAAGTCTCTCTCCTCCACCCAATCTTCTGTCCCAACTGCACAGTCCACTCCGCCCACCGCTCCTAGCTCACAATCTGAGTCTGAATCCTCCTCCTTCATGTCCACGTTCTTCCCCCCTTCTGCTGGGTAAACATGGCTCTTCCCTCCGTTCTTCCCTCCGTTCAACCCCCCCACGATCACTTCGATGTCCTTGGAGTTGGTGAGGATGTCCAGAGCGGCGGCTAAACTCCTGCTGGTTTCCAAGGAGGCTCTGAAGCCCCCGTTATACACAGATTCCTCCTCTTTCTCCTCTTCCATCTCCACCACCTCAGGTACGTTTGACGCCCCGTTGGACATTTTCTTGTGGTCCTTGTCCTTGGACACGGTGGTGGTGACCTTCAGAGACTCCAGCAGCATCCTCTGGTCCTGCAGAGCCAGAGCCATGTCCAGCTGCTCCACCTCGTCAAAGTCTTTGCTCAGATTCTCGTAGGACTCCCGGTCTGCGTAGCTAACGGGCCACCTGTTCCACTCCATGGTGCAACAAACGATGCTAGCCGGACACTTCTCCAGATGTTTGGCCATGTGGATGCGGGTGATATTGAAAGGGCATCCGAAGCCTCTGTTGATGCAGGGCAGACGTTCGTAGGCACACAGCAGCCGGTGCTCCTCCAGTTTACAGGAGTGAAACACCGCCCCGCAGACCAGAGGGCAGCCAATCAGATCGCAGCAAACCCCCGGCTCTGGGCGCACCATGCACCGTCTCTTGATGCATTTCATGCAGTGGGAGTGCAGGCTCTCCATGGTTTAACTCTCCGCTCCTCGATCTCCTCGCCCAACGGGATCCGGCGAAGCGTTCAACCCTGAAAACAAAGACATATTAGGGGTCAAACTCAAACACACAGTGGGCCAACATTTAAAAATGGGTACTACTCGAGGGCCGGACTGGTTCAATGTTTATTGCAGAACTTATTGCACATATTAAACCTGGAACTAACAAAGCTTCAATTATTGCCTATAAAATAACATTAAACATTAAATAATCAGGTGCATTCATTTCTTATGGCTCTATCTGCAGCTTTTCCAGTCATTTCTTATGATCACATTTCCCCACAGGCCAACAACAGCTTCAACAAAACTATTCCCCTCACAGAGAAAACCAAACATGCCCTGTTGTCCTGAGAGAGAAAGTGCAGAAGGAAGCATCCATTGAACTCAGTGTGCTGCTCTGTGATGCTAGCTCAGATACTTGGCATCTCATCTCGGGTGCAAGGTCATCAATGTTTGGGCTCAGGCTCTGAGCGGAGGAGACCCTCAGGATGGAGGGAAGGTGTGAGAGCAATATACCGGCGGGCCAGATCTAGTAGGAATTAGAAATTATCCAGCGGGCCCAAATTAAATCCACCAAGGCCCTGATTTGGCCCCCGGGCCTCGAGTTTGACGCATGTGTTATTAGAGCCTTCATCGGATAAAGGAAATCTCAACTATCTCTTCTAACTGTGCGTGGACTAACGGATCATTTCCCTCCACAAAACCCCACTTTAAACCTCTCAGCTGAGACGGCTCATCTTACAGGTGATTTGAAAACCAACTGAATAAATCCTGGACTAGAATATAAAAGAAGAAGGTGTCTTTAATAGGGCTGTCAAACGACTAAACATTTTAATCAGATTAATCTCAGCTTAAAGATGAATTATATCTCCATTCGAACTATGTCCAAAATATGCCATTTCTTTCTGTATATTGTTGGGAATGGAAAGATAAATGAAAGAAGGCGGATATATCCATTTCACATACAGCAGCCTATACGTTTATTATAACATTGTTCTGTGTCAGAATGAAAGACAGCCCACACACCCATCAATCATCAAACCGTGGGGTCTTATTTCATTACGTGTTGATTTCTATCAGCACGTAATGTTGTATCGATGTATCGGGACTTCCTGCAACAACACCACGCCGTTATCGTGATTCTGATTGGCCAGAAGACATTATCAAAGATGTTTTATTGAGAAGATGATCACTACGTGACAAAAGTTTTCAAACCCGTTTCTAGTCTTCGGTATTTCCAGACAAGTGAAATCAATCTGACTAACTGCTGTCTGTGCCGTTTACCCCGCGCGAGTTGGCGGACTTTATTTTGCTTCCTTTAACATCATTGTTCATGGCGGGGCTAAGCCATTTCTTGGTATGGCTGTAGCCCACCCCACTATACCCTGGCGCTGGTGGGATGTATGGGGCGGGCCAGTATGCGTTAAATATTTTTAACGCAGTTAATTAAAAACATTTATTACCGCCGTTAACGCGATAATTTTGACAGCATTAGTCTTTAAATCAGTTTAGGACTTGGCGTCAATCTTCTCTCCCGATAAAGGTCGATGATGAACATCAGGAGACGGCGTGGATTCAATACTTTAAAGTATTTGTAATATTTCCAGCTTTAGCTCATTAACATGCATCCGGGTTCATTTGACATAAACCCGACCTTCAGAGGAGACCTCACAGCACGCTTTCTGGTTGGTGTTGGTACACGCTTGACATCATGATTTACTGCGTCACAATATTTGGAGAATTCATATCATCACAAAAGGATCTCATTGAAATGTAGCTCCTAGAAACCCCCGGCCCGACAGAGATGTGTTCAGAAGTGTCTGCTCCTCATGTCACTCACATCAAATCCTAGAAATCTACTGCAGTCCTTGGAAATTCATTATTTCACAACTCTTTGAAATCCAAATGCAAGCTCTGACAACAACACTGTCGAGAGGTAAATACATTTAGCTGCCGTTACATTATCCCAGGACCTCAAACATCACACACGGCATCTCAGGCCTGGGCTTAAAGGACGGACCTGTGTTCCTCCTCTAAGGGTCCTCCAACAGCTGCACATTCAAGATGTTGTTGTTTTCTTCAGGTCGTTTTTAATGCTGGAGGTATTTGACCAACATACCAAATGACTAAGAGGGGGCAGCAAGTGAATTATTTCGCAACTCTGAAACCAAAAGCAAGCCCTTACAACAACAACAACAACAACAACAACAGTGTTTAGGTGTAAACACATGGAGCGGTCAGTGAGCACAGCATGCAGCCCTCTGACCTGAGAGATCTACTCTGGTTCAGTTCTTCATGAAGCTTTGTTGTTGTTGTTGTTGTCTCTGTAGAGCTGTAATGATCAGCTGATCCCAGATATGTAGACAACACTTTGACCTTTTCAAAACTGACATTATTCACTATTTTCTGAGGTTTTATAGACTATTAATTATGTGCAAAACATCAACTGTATAGCATCTCAAACGACAATATGTTCACACAGCTCTTTAAATGCTGCCACTCCTCTCTGAGCCGTCGATGACGACTTGATGCCTTTTTAAAGCATATGATTACTGGCTTGTTGATGATGATGATGGCTACTTATTATTTGGTGTAACGCTGTGATTTGCTCACTGCGGGACTAATAAAGGGATTCTGATTTACAGTTTTTAATCTGGATTTCAATCTGCTAATTATGAATGAAAAGCGTCTCCTTGATTTGCTGAGATGTTGCTCACTGCCCGTCCTCTTCCTTTAAAGAGAGAGACCACAGCAGAGTATTGTGTAACTGTAGCCCCCCCCCCCCAACATGTCCTCTCTGCTTGTTATGAATCTTTGTGCTGCCGGTAACCTTTCACAACCCCCCCCCCCCCTCTTAGGTTTCACCGGTGCCTCCAGGCCTGAGCCCCACCTCTGGATCTGAGTTTCTCCCTCAGACCCAGAACAACAACAACACCTCGAGGGGAATCACTCTGAATCATTAGCCGGGGCTTTGGTGCTGCAGGTGCATGTGTGGGGGGTTTACAGGATCATGAAGGCAGACACAGAACAATCATTTAAATACCCGCACACAGGAGGGCTATTGTTATGCATCAGCTCCTTCCTCCCCCCTCAGTGAGGAGAGCAACTATCACCTACAAGACACTCTGCTTCATATGAGTGCAACAATATCACTTCTGTTGTTTACTTTGCTCTTCACTGTTGGAGTACAGTTGTATTCTTATGTTTATCATACTGTGTTTTCTAAATGAGAACCTTAGTGCAACAAGGTAAAGAACATGTTGTATTGAAGTTAGAGAGAAAGAAACATGCCTAGCTTCAAACTCTTTATATGTCCAGTTTGGTCAAGTGTTACATTTCCCATCACATGCTTCTTCTGATCAGTTTACATGATTTAATGTGTCGGAATATTTGGACCTTTCCTCACGATATGGTGCATTTAAATATAAGGAATGAGCTTATCAAATAACACCATCTAATCTTTAGCATACTTCAGCAGCAGCTTCATTGTGATGATGTGTATGCTTGTTGTACTGAATGGATAAAGAAAGCCGCATCTAATATTATTAAAGCACATGGAAAGCAACAGCTGGTTCCGTGACGTCAGCACAGCTGTTAGCAAGTTAGCAAACAGCTAACAACACCGGCTTTAACAAAGCTAACCGCTTATAAGATTAGCAGCACTTATATCACCATTATATATTTAATTATAACGAGTTTCCATGATACCGGGGCCCTGAGAAGTGTGACATGTTAAGTCTTAAACACTTTTTAAAGTTTAACAAAAGAACAACAACATGTTCGGACAGTTAGCATTAGCAGCTAAACTGCGTTAGCATCTCAGCTAAACTTCAGAAGTGTAAACTAAGTAAGTACTTAAGTACAATTTTGAGGTACTTGTACTTTACTTGAGTATTACCATGTTATGCTACTGTGTACTTCTACTCCTCTACAGTTCAGAGGTACATGGTGTACTTTTCCTCCACTACATGTATTAATACCTTTAGTTGCTTCACAGATGTGGATGAATGATGTGAAATATAATCAAGTGTTGAATCAGACTTGAGTTCCACCTGGAGTAAATCCTCCAGCTACCCTGCAGTATACAAAGTACTTCAGACTAGCTGCACCTTCACCAGCTTTGAGAACACTTTCATGATCAATCATTATAAAACATATATATATATAATTCTGAAATGGACCAATCTGCACAACGACTACTTTTACTGTCTTTCACTATATTTAGATGAGAATACTTTCCTACTTTCACTTGAGGAACATTTTGAATGCAGGACTTTTACTCTAACAGAGTATTCCTACACTCTGGTACTTCTACTTTTACTCAAGTACAAGATCTGAGTACTTCTACTTTTACTCAAGTACAAGATCTGAGTACTTCTACTTTTACTCAAGTACATCATTTAAGTACTTCTCCCACCTCTAGTAAACTGCATTAGCATCAGAAGCTAAACTCCATTAGCATATTTAGCTGAGTTAGCTCATATCTTCCAGAAACTACTTACCCAAGTGTCGGGGTTCTCCGGATGAACTGAAGCACTACTTGCGTACTTGTGTCAGAGTTGTGGACATCAGATAAGAGCGGTAAAGTGAGAATAAAAGGCCGTAAAAGGAGTTAAATGTTCCCCTGAAGTGATCTGGCTGCAGCTGGTTCTCCGGTTCTTTTGATCTGAGGGGAACGTCTGTTTTGATCCTGGAGAGGCACGTCGTTATTCCACGTCATCACGTAAAGCAACGTTTGTCGTTAAACAAGCCCACTTCTGCGTTAACGTAGCTTTGCGTAATTACGTCATGGATTAGAATGTAAACATTGAGGTGATATTCTGAATTTAAAAAAAATATTTTGTACAGTTCATTTCATGTTTAGGGACATTTCATATTCATTCAAGCATATACATTTTTTTAAAATATTTGTTTCTAAAGAAAAATAAACGAATGAAATGTAAAACATAGTAATAATAATAATTAAAAATGGTTTAATAGTCCAGAGCCCTATAATAGAATGCTATCTATACAGCGCGGGTCCTTCTATAGCGTTTTCATTCTTGGTAAAATGTTCCCAATTTAGTTTAGAGTCAATTTCACGCTCTCGTTATGCCGAAGTGGGCGTGGTTTACTCACATCGTCATGCCACGTCATCACGTAAAGCAGCGTGGTCCCATCAGTTAAGGAGCAGTGCTGCTGCGCTCAGAAATAGACGAGGGGAAAACCCGAGGACTGTTTTACATTTTTATTTATAGGTTTTAATGGATGCAGAATCCTGCCAGGGCAATTCAAATACTATCTTAATGTTCCCTTAATGTTCCCTGGACTCACACAGCGATATAGTAATAATCAACCAGAGGAAATGGGCTTTACAATGAGGGAGAATGGCTGAGAATGAACATAAATACAGGATCTCAAAGTCATAGAAAATTAAAAAACAAGTTGGAAAGTATTTCCTACAAAATAAAATAATTTTAGATAAAATAATAATAATGCATGTTTACTTTAAATTGAATTAAATGTATTAATTAGTTTATTAAAAATAAAAGAATGACAGAAATATGAACTACTCTACAGTGTTGGGTTGTTAGACATAGAGGGTACATATAGCTGCAAATAGATCACACGTTTAAAACCTTTATTAAACTTATTTTCAACAATTCCTGAAGACATATACCAGACTTATTGTGATGATAAATCAGACCTGTACACGTGATTGTATTTTTATATGTTTTTGTGTTTGAGAGAACGAATAAGCAATATTTTACAATATTTTGTCAATCATCGTGCAACAAGTCAGAAAATGTCTCGTCGATAGGTTCCCAGTTTTTATCACATTAAGGTGAATATCTTAAATCTAAACATCTTAACATGAATTTTAAGGAACTTTTTCAATATTTCCTGAGATTTTATGGACCATTAATGAATGATAATGAATATTTGATGTGTATTTGTAGCCCTGGTGGGTGTCTGTCCTCAGGAGGCGACCTCAGAGAGGGTGTGGATGTTGGACAGGTAGCCCCCCCCCCCTCAGGAGGCGACCTCAGAGAGGGTGTGGATGTTGGACAGGTAGCCCCCCCCCCTCAGGAGGCGACCTCAGAGAGGGTGTGGATGTTGGACAGGTAGCCCCCCCCCCCCCTCAGGAGGCGACCTCAGAGAGGGTGTGGATGTTGGACAGGTAGCCCCCCCCCTCAGGAGGCGACCTCAGAGAGGGTGTGGATGTTGGACAGGTAGCCCCCCCCCCTCAGGAGGCGACCTCAGAGAGGGTGTGGATGTTGGACAGGTAGCCCCCCCCCCCCTCAGGAGGCGACCTCAGAGAGGGTGTGGATGTTGGACAGGTAGCCCCCCCCCCCCCTCAGGAGGCGACCTCAGAGAGGGTGTGGATGTTGGACAGGTAGCCCCCCCCCCCTCAGGAGGCGACCTCAGAGAGGGTGTGGATGTTGGACAGGTAGCCCCCCCCCCTCAGGAGGCGACCTCAGAGAGGGTGTGGATGTTGGACAGGGTGAGTTGAGCCTCTCTGATTGGATAGAAGCTTCTGGAGCGGAGCCACAGGCGTCCGAAGAGCCCGGAGACCAGCAGGAGGACCAGAACCAGCAGACCCCCCAGAACCAGGGTCCCCACAGCAGGGAGCCCCCCACCTGCAGGAGAAACTCACCTCAGTACACACACAGGTACTTTATACTGACGTCAGCACACACAGGTACTTTATACTGCACTAGAGTACACACTACAGGTACTTCATACTGCACTAGAGTACACACTACAGGTACTTTATATTGCACTAGAGTACACACTACAGGTACTTCATACTGCACTAGAGTACACACTACAGGTACTTTATACTGCACTAGAGTACACACTACAGGTACTTCATACTGCAGATTTAAAGACTCATTAATATAAACCACACGTACTCAGATCAGGCTTCCCACCGTCCTGTAGGAGGCGTCTGATTGGTCCGTAAGACACGGTGTGGGACAGAGGAGCGTCTCTCCGAGTCCGGATCAGTTCTTCCTCACCGACCGAGGAACAGTTCTGGGTTTCAGAGGAAACACGAAGAGACACGTCTGGATGTAAACAACAACAAATCAGTCAACAACACATTCAGGAGAACATGTTTAATAAGAGAACCCCTCATGAGCATATTCAAACCCAACGACAGGAAACTAGAAACAACATGGAGATATCTTTGTATATAATTATCCCTCACGGTTAAATAAAGGAAGGCAACAAAAACCTGTTAGATAAATACAACAATAACAACTAATACCAATCAAAAGGGGATGTCTCTGATCAAACTAAATAAAACCTTAAATATTAAAACCTTTAAAAAAAAGAAAGAGAAAAAAAATTACTATTAAAAAAATAATAGTAAAAGATAAATAATAAAGATTTAAAGACTCAAGCTATAAAATAAATGAAGATTAAAAGACTATTTAAAATGTGGTTGGGGGGGGGGGGGGTTTCCATGGTGATATCTTAAATATGTCCCCCTGCAGTGCCCTCCTCCCCCCCCTGTATGGTCAGAGGGTCTATTTTAAGGTAAAGCTCCTCTTAAAGCGTGTCTAAACCGGCCCCTCACTCAGAGGTATGTCGGGTGGTTTGGGGGGTCTCTCTCTCCGGCTGGCACTAAAGCAAAACCTATAGAATAAATCAAACAAAAACTAATAATAAAAAACAAAATCAGAGTGATGTTTGGGTGGTGTTTTTGGGGGTATTTTGGGGGTGTTTTTGGGGGTGTTTGGAGGTTTTGGTTGGGGGGGGGGTTGGGGGTGTTTTGGAGAGGGTTTGGAGTGTTTTGTGGGTGTTTGGGGTTGTTTTGGGGGGGTGTTTGGAGGGGGTTTTGGGGTTGTTTGGGGTGCTTTTGGGGTGTTTTTGTGGGTGTTTTTGTGGGTGTTTGGGGTGTTTTTGGAGGGTGTTTGGAGGGTTTTTTGGGGGTGTTTTGGGGGTGTTTGGGGTGTTTTGGGGTGTTTTTGGGGGTGTTTGGGGGTGTTTTTGGAGGTGTTTGGAGGGGTTTTTGGGGGGTGTTTGGGGTGTTTGGGGTGTTTTTTGGGTGTTTGGGGGTGTTTTTGGGGGTGTTTTGTGGCGGGTGTTTGGAGGGTTTTTTGGGGGTGGTTTTTTGGGGGGTTTTCGGAGGGGGTTTGGGGGGTTTTGGGGGGTTTTTGGGGTGTTTGGGGTTGTTTGGGGTGTGTTTTTTGAGGGGTGTTTGGAGGGGGTTTTGGGGTTGTTTGGGGTGCTTTTGGGTGTTTTGTGGGTGTTTGGAGGGGTTTTTGGGGGTGGTGTTTTTTGGGGGGTTTTCGGAGGGGGTTGGGGTGTTTTTGGTGTCTTTTTGTGTTTTTTGTTTTGTTTTTTTGGGGTGTTTTTTTTGGGTGTTTGGGGGTGTTTTTGGGGTTGTTTGGGGTGCTTTTGTGGTGTTTTTGGGGGTGTGTGGAGGGTTTTTGGGGGGGTGTTTGGGGGTGGTTTTTTGGGGTGTTTTCGGAGGGGGGTTTTTTGGAGGGTGTTTGGAGGGGTTTTTGGGGGTGGTTTTTTGGGGGTGTTTCGGAGGGGTTTGGGGGTGTTTTGTGGGAGTTTGGGGTTGTTTGGGGGGTGTGTTTGGGGGTGCTTTTGGAGGGTATTTTTGGAGGGGGTTTGGAGGTTTTTTTTGGGTTGTTTGGGGTGCTTTTGGGGTGTTTTTGTGGGTGTTTGGAGGGGTTTTTGGGGGTGTTTTTTTTGGGTGTTTTGGGGGGGTTTGGGGGTTTTTGGGGGTTGGTTGGGGTGCTTTTGGGGTGTTTTTGTGGGTGTTTGGAGGGGTTTTTTGGGGTGTGTTTGGGGTGGTTTTTGGGTGTTTTCGGAGGGGGTTTGGGGTGTATTTGGGGGGGGTTTGGGGTGTTTTTGTGGGTGTTTTGTAGGTGTTTGGGGTGCTTTTGGGGTGTTTTGTGGGTGTTTGGGGTTGTTTTTGGAGGGGGTTTTTGGAGGGGGTTTTTGGAGAGTGTTTTATTTTGGGGTGTTTTTTGGGGGGGGGTTTTGGGGTGGTTTTGGGGGGTGTTTGGGGGTATGTTTGGGGGGGTTTTGGGGGGTGGTTTGGGGGGGGTGTTTGGAGGGGTGTATTTGGGGTGTCTTGGAGGGGTTTTTGGGGGTTGTTTGGGGGTGTTTTTGGGGTTGTTTGGGGGGGTGTTTGGGGGTTGTTTTGGGGGGCTGTTTGGGGGTGTTTGGGTGTGTTTAGGGGTGTATTTGGGGATGTTTTTGGGGGTGTTTGGAGGGGTGTATTTGGGGATGTTTTTGGGTGTGTTTGGAGGGGTGTTTAGGGGTGTATTTGGGGATGTTTTTGGGGGTCTCTCACCGGCTTGCACTGCCCCGAGCTGAGGCTGCAGATCTGGACGTTGCAGTGCAGAAACACATTGGTATACGAACTGCCAACGAACTTAAACATCTGGAGCCTGAACGCAGCATCGGGCCCCTCCCCGTTCCTCAGGACGCTCAGAGTCTGAACGCTGGAGATTAGCGGGCAACTGAGGAAGGGGAGAATGGAGAATAAAAGATATTAAAAATAAGAGGCAAGAATAGATTTTAATCCTGTGGTGAATGAAAAAACTAGGTGAAGAAATGCTCTTTAAAAATCCTGCATTCACAGATTCAATGAGGTAGAAATCTAATAAAATGTGCAGTAAAATGTATTTTAATTATAAATTAATATTGTTAAGAAATTATTTAGGATGGATTTTGTACAAATAAAACATTTCCCTAGAAAATACAGATGTATTGCATCTTATTGCTGTTGCTGGTGGAGATAATTTGAACTATTTTACACTTTTGGATGGTTTAATTTATAATAATGCAGGTAATACATACAGAGTAACTATAGCTGTCTGATCATTTTAATGCAGTAAAAATAACAAAAATGTAATGAAATATTCAAGTAAAGTACAAATTCCTCCCTATTTTACCAAAGGACTGTCACTGCCGGGTGTCAGATATGTGCATGAGTGAGCAGGGACGTGCACAGCTGTTTATGTGCACACGTGCGCTCCCAGACAGGAGTCACATGACGCGTCTGAGAAACAGAGTCTGCTTTCGCATTTCAACACGCCGTGGAAACAATACACTGATCTGAGACCATTCATAAACGCCTTTAATCCAGATTTATTAATCCTGCTTCTTTATTCTTCTTAAATGTCCATTGTTACCTGTCTCTGATGAAGGTGTACTGGATGTTAGAGTAGGGGTCACTGGAGGGGGTCGCCCAGCATCTCTCCATACGCAGCATCAGGTGAGCAGGGATCTGACACACACACACACACACACACACACACAGTGAGTAAACAACAGTGTGTGGGTGTTGGGTTTCGTCACAACAAGTTGCTTAAGGTGGTGTAACAACCGGCTCACCCACACACACACACACACACACACACACACACACACACACACCACACACACACACACACACACACACACACACACACACACACACACACACACACACACACACACACACACACACACACACACACACACACACACACACACACACACACACACACACACACACACAGTGAGTAAACAGCAGTGTGTGGGTGTTGGGTTTCGTCACAACAAGTTGCTTAAGGTGGTGTAACAACCGGCTCACACACACACACACACACACACACACACACACACACACACACACACACACACACACACACACACACACACACACACACACACACACACACACACACACACACACACACACACACACTAATCCCTGATCATCATATTTAACCCACAATATACACTATGTTTTTATTGAAGTTATTTGAATCAAGACACAAAGTATTAAATGTGCATATTTTTTTCAAATGAATTAATTGCTTCGTTGTTCCATAAACACACCTGCTTAAAAATAAAATATTTCAAAGGTTATCTACCATTAAAAAAATGCAGTTATTTAATATTTTAATGCCATAAAGAATAAATAAGTTAGTCAGTTAGTCACGATAACAAATAAAAAATGTTTACGGTTATTTTACTTTTTAGAATGTGATTTACCAAAATAAATATATATTTTAAAAGGGGTGTATAAAAGTAGGTATTATTCAGATGAATCCAAAATGTGATTATTAGTATTCTGGAAGTTAAAGAAGGAGTTTTACCATGAACACTTTGACGAAGACGTGGTCCTCCAGCCTGAGGGAGGGCACGGTCGTCCAGCGGTCCTCGAACGCCTCGTCTTTGAACAGAAGCATCGAGACGGAGAAGTTGCCGTCCTCTGTGTTCAGAGTGATGGTCCTGTGACATAAAGGGAAACAAATTCATATTTCATATCTAATAACAGGTCGTCAGGGTCATTCATGCCATTATCGGTCATTTTGTGTTTTTATGTAACGGTTTTTAATTGTTTGTGTTTTCTTTTGTTGTTTTTTGAGCATTTAGCTAATTCTGTACAATAAGTGGTTATTTTTACATGTTTGGCCTTGTGTGAGTTTTTGTAGTCATTTTATTCAATTATTTGTAATTTTGTGTGTTTTTTTTTGGATTGTTTTGTGTAATTTCTTTAGGTAATTATTAGTTGTTCTGTTTCATTTCTGGCAAATTATAAGCCTTGTTTTATTTATTTTTGTTAATCAAATACTGTACAATAAGTTGTCATTTTGTTTTTGTAGTGATTCTATTTAATTATTTGTAATTTTGCGTGTTTTCTTTGGGTTGTTTGTGTAATTTTTACTAAATGTCCTCTTTTTTTGTATTGATTGTTTTTCTTTTAGGTAATTATTGGTTGGCCCCTCCACCACCAGGCCCTCTCCACCACCAGGCCCCCTCCACCACCAGGCCCTCTCCACCACCAGGCCCCCTCCACCACCAGGCCCCCTCCACCACCAGGCTCTCTCCACCACCAGGCCTTGTTTTATTTATTTCTGTTTAAGTTGTATCTTGTTATATTTGACTAACTATTCATATTTAATAGTTAAAACAAATTGTTGTAATTTTTTGTAGTTTTTGGTTCATTTTCTATCTTTAATTTAGCTAATTTAGTTTTTTTAGTGATATATTTTAATTATTTTTGTTTCTTTTGGGTTGTTTTGTGGAATGTTTGTGGAATTGCACCTTTTTTTGTATTGATTGTTTTTCATTTTGTGGCATTTTTAAGCCTTGTTTTATAAATGTCTGTTAAAAAAGCAACAAAATAAAACTCTAACTATTCAGATGAAATATCCCCCCAGGTGAACCCTACCTGAGGTGCACGTGCACCCCGTGGCCCCCCCCCGGCTGCTGCACCAGGTACCGGACGGGGTATCTGCAGCTGAAGGTGATGTTCACGTAGTTCCTGCTGATCACCTGAGACTCGTTGTTATGGATGGAGTTCGTGAACATGATGTGGGACTGGTCCGACACCTGGCGGGAAACACAGGTGTCTAGCAATACAGCAATACTAGCAATACAGCACATTTAAAACAGACTTACAGAGCTCTCACATAATAACTGAAATGACTCATTCACACAGAGAATGCAATGAACTGTGAATAATAATAACAATACACTTTATTCATTTAGCCAAAGAGCTTTCCAGAGGGTGACAGAACACCTGAGGAACATCAGTAAACACAAGGTGTAAACAAACAGAAAGAGTTATATCACTGCACCATAAAACCATAACACCTGGTGTTACAGTCAGACCACACACAGGTGTTACAGTCAGACCACACACACAGGTGTTACAGTCAGACCACACACAGGTGTTACAGTCAGACCACACACAGGTGTTACAGTCAGACCACACACAGGTGTTACAGTCAGACCACACACAGATGTTACAGTCAGACCACACACAGGGGTTACAGTCAGACCACACACAGGTGTTACAGTCAGACCACACACACAGGTGTTACAGTCAGACCACACACAGGGGTTACAGTCAGACCACACACAGGTGTTACAGTCAGACCACACACACAGGTGTTACAGTCAGACCACACACAGGTGTTACAGTCAGACCACACACAGGTGTTACAGTCAGACCACACACAGGTGTTACAGTCAGACCACACACAGGTGTTACAGTCAATCAATCAATCAATCAATGTTTATTTATATAGCCCAATATCACAAATGTTACATTTGTCTCAGTGGACTTTACAGTTTGTACAAAATATCAGTATGACAATACGACACCCTCTGTCCTTAGACCCTCTGTCCTTAGACCCTCTGTCCTTAGACCCTCACATCGTACAAGGAAAAACTTCCGGAGAAAACCCACAGTTTAAAGGGAAAAATGGGAGAAACCTCAGGGAGAGCAACAGAGGAGGGATCCCTCTCCCAGGACGGACAGACGTGCAATAGATGCCGTGTGTAAATTGAAAAGATAATACATTTGCAACATAGGTAGTCCAAATGTTTGGAAATGCATGTGTGTATAATAGGAAGATGAATCCACGAGGATATCCATCCAGGACCTATGATCCAGGACCACAGCCACGACTCAAGATCCAGGGCTCGCGATCCAGGACAGAGGAGCGCAGGATCATCCATGACTCCGGATCCCGGCGTATATAGACACCAAAAAGAAAGACATTTGGGGAAGCTGGGTTAATCGGAACATGAGAGTACACAGGTATAGACAGAGAGAAGGAAGAAGTAAGATGTCCCCCGACAAACTAAGCCTATATCAGCAAAACTAGGGGCTGGATCTAATCAGCCCTAACTATAAGCTTTATCAAAAAGGAAGGTCTTAAGCGCACTCTTAAAAACGGATAGGGTGTCTGCCGCCCGAACACAAACTGGAAGCTGATTCCACAAATGTGGAGCTTGATAAGAAAAGGCTCTGGCTCCCATTGTACTTTTAGAGACTCTAGGAACAACCAACAACCCTGCATTCTTGGAACGCAATGCCCTAGTAGGACAGTAGGGTATAATGAGTTCTTTAAGGTAAGATGGCGCCTGCCCATTAAGGGCTTTGTAGGCGAGAAGAAGAATTTTAAATTCTATCCTGTGTTCTATAGGGAGCCAGTGTAAGGCAGCCAGAACAGGAGTAATGTGGTCCCTTTTCCTAACTCTGGTTAGTACACGAGCCGCAGCATTTTGAATCAGCTGAAGCGACTTGACTGACTTCTTGGTACACCCTGATAATAAAGAGTTACAATAATCCAGCCTTGAAGTAACAAATGCATGGACTAGTTTCTCTGCATCGTTTTGAGGCAAGATATGCCTGATTTTTGCAATGTTACGTAGATGGAAGTAGGCGGTCCTTGAAATTGATTTTATGTGGGCGTTAAAGGATAAATCCTGATCAAATATAACACCAAGATTCCTTACAGTCTCACTGGAGGCCAAATTAATGCCATCCATAGTTAGTATATCCTTAGATAATTTGTTTCGTAGATTCTTCGGGCCAAGTACAATAACTTCAGTTTTGGTCGTGTTTAACATCAAAAAGTTTAAGGTCATCCACGTTTTTAAGTCCTTAAGGCAGTCTTGAATTTTATTTAGATGATTAATTTTATCAGGCTTGATTGATAAATATAATTGAGTATCATCCGCATAACAATGAAAGTTTACAGAATGATTCCTTATAATATTGCCTAACGGAAGCATATATAATGTGAACAAAATAGGTCCGAGCACTGAGCCCTGTGGCACTCCATGGCTAACTTTGGTTTGCGTGGAAGATTCATCATTGACACGTACAAACTGAGAGCGTTCAGATAGATAGGACCTAAACCAGTCTAAAGCAGTTCCCTGTATGCCAACTAAGTGCTCTAGTCTTTGCAATAAGATATCATGGTCGATAGTATCAAATGCAGCACTGAGATCGAGCAAAACAAGAATAGAGACACGTCCCTTGTCAGAGGCTATTAGAATGTCATTTGTGACTTTAACCAGAGCTGTCTCTGTGCTATGATGTGTTCTAAAGCCAGACTGAAAAGCTTCAAATAAATCATTGTTTTTTAAGTAATCACACAACTGTTTTGCGACCGCTTTCTCAAGAATTTTTGAGAGGAACGGAAGATTAGAAATAGGTCTATAGTTGGCTAAAACCTCTGGATCGAGGTTGTGCTTTTTAAGAAGCGGTTTTATCACTGCTACTTTGAATGATTGTGGAACATAGCCTGATAATAAAGACATATTCATAATATTTAATAAAGAAGTGCTAATTAATGGAAAAACTTCCTTCAACAGCTTAGTTGGAATTGGGTCTAACATGCACGTTGATGGTTTAGAAGAGAGAATCATTGAATTTAATTGTTCAAGGTTTATGGCTGAAAAGCATTCTAGTTTACTATCTAGTGTAATATTAGAACTTAGGTTTCCGGGAGCTGTTGATAACACTATACTGGTCAAAGGCAAGAGGTCATTAATTTTGTTTCTAAGAGTAACAATGTTATCGTTAAAAAAGCACATAAAATCATTACTACTGAGTGCTATGGGAATAGAAGGCTCAATCGAGCTGTGGCTCTCTGTCAGCCTGGCTACAGTGCTGAAAAGAAATCTTGCATTATTCTTATTCTCATCTATTAATGAAGAGTAGTAAGCTGCTCTCGCTTTACGCAATGCTTTCTTATATTCATTGAGAGTAATATGCCAAATTAAACGAGATTCTTCAAGTTTAGTAGAACGCCATATCCTTTCAAGTTGTCTCGACTTTTGCTTTATTTTGCGGGTTTCGGCATTATGCCATGGAGCTAGTCTATGTTGTTTTATTTTCTTCTTTTTCAAAGGAGCAACAGAGTCTAATTTTATTCGCAGCGCATCTGTAGCACTATCAACAACATGATCAATTTGGGGTGGTGTACATTTTGTATAAGTTTCCTCCCTTACATGCAGACATGCTATCGAGTTAAGTATTGGTGGAATCTCTTCCTTAAATTTGGCTATAGCACTAACAGATAGGTTTCTGCTGCAGGAGCTTTTGACTAATGCTTTGTAGTCTAGTAACAGTACTTCAAAAGTTACTAAGAAATGGTCGGATAAAGCAGGATTATGCGGTTCGACTAATAGTTGCTCAATTTCAATACCATAAGTCAGAACAAGGTCGAGAGTGTGATTATAGCAGTGGGTTGGTTTATTTACACTCTGACAAAAACCAACAGAATCTAATATAGAGTTAAATGCAACAGTAAGGCTATTTTTATCATCGTCAACATGAATATTAAAGTCACCTACGATAATTACTTTATCTGTTTTAAGAACCAAAGTTGATAAAAACTCAGAGAATTCAGATAAGAATTCTGAATAAGGACCTGGTGCACGGTACACTGTAACAAATAAGATTGGCTGCAAAGTTTTCCAGGTCGGATGCGTAAGACTAAAAACAAGACTTTCAAAGGAGGTATAATTTAATTTTGGTTTAGTATTGATAAGTAAACTTGAGTCAAAGATGGCTGCAACTCCACCTCCTCGGCCCGTGCCTCGGGCAATATGAGTATTGATATGGCTGGGTGGAGTGGCCTCATTTATGCTGACATATTCTTCATGTCTCAACCAAGTTTCAGTGAGACAGCATATATCAATATTATAATCTGATATTAAATCATTTACCAATATTGCTTTAGATGCTAGAGATCTTATGTTTAAGAGACCACATTTAATATTCCTGTTTTGTTGCACTGTAGTAGTTGTTACATTTACTTTGATTAGGTTATTATGTATGACACCTCTATTAGGTTTTACCTTAACTTGTCCTTGGGCAGACACACACACCGCTAATATTGGGTATTTTATTGGGTTCGGGATTCCTATGGATGACTGCCTAGGAGAGAGCGCAGAGAAGCGTGTAAGACTGCGACTCCGCCTCCTGGTCTCAACTCCAGTTTGTCATGGATTAAGTCCACAAAGCCCTGAAATGTTTGCCGAAATGAGATCGGCACCTTCCAAAGTAGGATGAATGCCGTCTCTCTTAATCAGACCAGGTTTTCCCCAGAAGGCTGTCCAATTATTTACGAAGCCCACATTGTTTGCTGGGCACCACCAAGACAACCAGCGCTTGAAATGATGACATGCGGCTATACATGTCATCATTGATCAGATTGGGGAGGGGACCAGAGAAGATTACGGTGTCCGACATTGTTTTAGCATAACTACACACCGACTCCACATTAAGTTTGGTGCATTCTGATCGGCGTATACGAACATCATTACCACCGACGTGAATAACAATCCTACTGTATTTACGTTTATTTTTAGCCAGCAGTTTAAGATGCGCTTCAACGTCGCCCGCTCTGGCCCCCGGAATGCATGTGACTGTGGAGGCTTCGGTCTCTAATTTCACGTGTCTCATAATAGAGCTACCAATAACCAGAGTTGGCTTCTCAGCGGGTGTCTCGCTGAGTGGGGAATATCTGTTAGATACGTGAACGGGTTGGTGGGGACCTGCGGGTTTCGCGTTATGCCCCTTC